AGTGCCAGACATTCACTTTATGCCCCCCAGTGGTTGGAAGTTATGCTTGCCATCTCTTTTACTATTATACTAACATGCCCAGATCCACAGATAACCATGCAGCCAAAACTAGAAATATGCCTGCAGGTGGATGTAAAGCCATAGCATACTACTAGAAAACAATCAAGTTCTTATTACAGCCAATATTTTTTTTAGTTTTGAGAAGAGTAAGAGAGGGTTATAACTAGGGATGCACCAATACCGGTATTTTGGTACTGAGTACGAGTACCAATAATTTTCTTTTCGGTAATCGCCGATACCAATTACCGAGTAACGGAAGTCCCATTCAGGAAGCCAGGTGGCGTGTAAAGACTCGCCACCCGGCTTCCCGATTAACAAGAAAGTCTGTCCCCTCTTACCTTGGTATGTCCAGCCTGTCAGCCCGGGGCCTCTCCAGCCAGAACGCGGCCTTCCTCTGGTACCCAGCTGGAGCCGTCTGGCTGGCCAATCGGGAAGCCGGGCGCCGTGTATTGACGCAACGCCCTGGTTTCTGATTGGCCGGCCAGACGGCTCCATTTTTACTCGTCATGAGACGACGAGGGAGCATGAAGGCCAATCAGAATGCCGGGCGCTGCGTCATTACATGGCGCTCGGCTTCCTGATTGGCCAGCTTCCCGACCAATCAGGAAGCCGGGCAGCGCGTCATTACACGCTGCCTGGCTTCCTGATTGGCCGGGAAGTCGGCTCCATGCTCTCTCATCACAAGTGACGAGAGAGCATGGAGCTGCTTCCCGGCCAATCAGGAAACCAGGCAGCGTGTAATGACGGCTGCCCGGCTTCCTAATACAGGAAGTACTCGTGCTAGGCATCAGAGCATTTGGGCGAGTACGAGTAATACTAGTATCGGTATCGGTGCATCCCTAGTTATAACCCCTGTCAGCATTTTCTTGCCATCTGTGTCCCATTGGGGAGGATTCCCTTCACCTCATGTCCAATAGCCACAACAGGAAGTAAAAGGAAATCCTTCCAAACTGAGGGAAATCCCTGGCAGTCAGCAAGGTCACCAGAACTATTGGAGGATTGATTGCCTATTGGAGGATTTCCCATCTAATCCTGTTCTGGTGACAACTCAAAACTTGGGATTTTTTCACTTTCAATGAAAAACAGTCCCCAGGACAAACAGAGAGGGTGAATCTCCCTAATGGGGACACAGACAGCAGTAAAATCAGACATGACTTCTAATCCCTCTCCACTCTATCCAAAACTACTTCCTATGAAATTTAAGATGGAAAAGCAGTATAGCCACAACTTTGTTATTGGTACTTCTACGAGTGCTCTTGCATCCTCTACTATTGAATTGCTGAAATCATTGGAAATACCTTTTTCACAAGCTTTCATTGTGCAATGATTATGTGAAAGGAGTTGTAAAGTCCCACACATACAATATACGGTACTCTCCTGTTATAACATCAGCATCGTAATAGGAATACATATCTGTTGTTGTTTTTGATAAAGCAATCAAAGCTTACTTGAAAAAATCCCTTTTATGCAGTGAGTGCTGCCTTCCGTCCGCCCATCACTTTCACCAACTTCATGGATCCCCAGTGTGCTTTACTCTCTTTCCCTGCTACTTGATGTGATGCAATTTTGATTTCTTAAGACCACATATCCCTTCATGCATTGCTTTCAGCAAGCAATGATAATGTTACATTGTGGCCATTTCCTGTGTTCACTTACAGAGAGGGGGAAAGAGCCGAGTGGTAGTTTGGACATCAGACTTTCTGACACAAGGAAGTGCATATTCACTGAGTGCAATGGTGTCAGTGCATGGAGGAAGTGCATCCTATGGACATCTTCAATAAGTACGTTTACACACTTTCAGATGGAGATGGCGATTAGGAGTGGGATAGGAATCAATATAGAAACACGTTTATTTTTAGGTTTGACCTTACATACCCTTTAATCTTCCTACACAGATGTATTTTCCTTCTTGCCTGGGGAGACACTTTAACTGTTACAACCTGGAATTAAAATGGGTTTAATTTCAATTTGATAACAATGAGCTACACATAAAAATAAACATATTGTCAAAGTTTTAAAAAATCAACACCATTCATTCAAATATTTTTCAAATTTTCAACGTGAAGTTTTCCTGGTGTAGGTGCTCACGTACTCGTCTATGAAACCGCTCAGGAAACGGTGTAAGGTTTCTCCTCCAGAAGATATATTTCCGGAGAAACACCATTCAGGTTTGGCTTATAAAAAGTCATACTTTGGACATCTCCTGGAGCAACGCTGAATCGATTTGACCAAAATAACGTGAAAAAAAATGGCTCATCAGCAACTCTGTCTACAGAACGCTGCCAACCAAAATTCAGTGATCAGGCAAGGAGAGGAGTCAGAAAAACAACGCGGAGGTGAATGGTAACTATGAGGGAGATTCTCATCTGAGATAGTAGAAACTGTACATGAGACAATTATAACTTGGAATTTATCAAGAGGCGTGCAGGAGACATGACAAATCTATGGAAAAGGTTCTATGGATAAGAAGATCAAAATTAAACTTTGTCTACAACAAAATGGCGCTGAATAATACATCTGCAATAGCACTTAAAGCATGTGACTAGGGTTGCCACCTGTCCCGGATTCACCTGGACAGTCCGGGTTTTGAAACGTGTATGTGCGGTGTCTGGGTTTCGGCTGGCCTGAGACCCAGAAACAGCACATACAGGACTCAAAACCCGGACTGTCCACGTGAATCCGGGACAGGTGGCAACCCTACATGTGACCTGAAAGCTGAGCCCCGAGCACAAATATAAAACAACATAAAAGAGGCATCGCCTACCATATGCTGTGCTTGTCCTACTGCCACTTTCTGGGCATAGCAATGTTTGTATTCGGGTGAGCGCCCGTAAACAGTGGCATTTGTGTTTGCATGCACATGGGTATAGGTTTCTGAGCGAAGGTGTACACTCAGGCATAGCGTTTTGTGTCTATACATTGCTATGGACAGAAAACCGCAGCAGCTATGACTCCCGGTCCCTGCAGATAAAGACGAATTTTACGTTGTAAGAAAATACGTCTGTCTTTGTTCTGCCGATGTGCATGATCCCTAAATAGTTATCAGCCCTGCTGGATGTATGGTTGTACCAACTGCGCCATTCATATACTGGATGCGTGTCAACCTGACCTGCAACCCTACAAGACAGAATCGGCTGTGTGTTTCCTCTTTAGCCACTAGATGGCGCTGTGACCACACTACATGGTCAGCAGATGGGTCACAAATCTGCACAAACTCTCTAATCCTAGAACGCATTGTATGGGGGGAACTGATCAAAACTGGAGCAGACAGAATCTGGAGCAGCTGCCCATAGCAACCAATCAGCTTCAATCTTCAGTTTATTCAGTTACGGTGACACAAAACTCAGGGGTTAAATCTTAAGAATGCATTTAATTACCTTAACTATTAACAAAAATGTATCTTATTTGTGTATCACTCGGCTGTAGATCCTCAAATCATCTCTGAATTGGTGCTGACACTGTCCTTCCTTCTGGAGGGTGGCTACTTTTGTTCCCCATGGTCCCTGTGTGTGTTGTAAAGTAGTCACCGCTCCAAGATCACTCCCGTGATGGACTACAAGCTCACATTTAGTTTATAAATCTGCATTGAGATTGTAGTCCATCACGGGACAGACAAGGCAGCAAAAAAAAATAACCTGCTAGGGATTTCAACCATTCCCAACTCAATCCACAAGGAGGCCGCCGCTGCTGGATCTCAGAAAATATGTATCTGTGGTGGGGGATGGGGAGCTCGGATAGGTTAGAGGAAGGATAAGTGCACTTTGTCTTAGAAAGGACTTATCCTTTAAAGAAGAACTCCAGGGTTCAAGGGTTGAATGCTTGGTTTGGTCTAGAGGGTTCAAATAAAACACAATTACGTACCCGATCTTCACTCGTGCAACAATCTGCACTCATCTCTCTCCCCCTTCACTCTGGCTGTGGAATGTCCCTCAACGTCCTTGCATATAATGCAGATCAATGGACCTGCATAAGACGTGATGTTGGCAGTTTCAGGCCTTGACGGACAGAGCCCAGGAGGGGGGAGAAGAGACTGTGGTGACCGGTCTAGCAGCCACTTTATGTGACCCCCCCCTAGACAAGAACTTACCCTTGCAGTGCAGGAGAAGCCCCACTGCAAAGGTTAGTTTTGTCATTCCTGGAGCCAGGGGTGTCCTGCGGCTGGGTGACACCACGCCGTGACGTCATTGTGCATGTGCGTGGCGCTGCCGCCTGCGTGCTCAATTACATCATTGCGCATGTGCAGTCGTCTTATTGACGCCTACCAGCGGCCATCTTGGTGATGGACGCCGGCAGAGAGAGGTGACGTTCACCCGGCGGGATGAGGTATGCCGCCGGATCCCCTCCTCTCTCCTGACACTGTCGGGCTCTTGGTCCACGACTTTTCATAGGGGGTGACACCAAAATGACTGACAGTCATTTTGGAGTCACCCCTCCAATGGTGGCACCCGGGTGTGGCCGCACCCCCATCATGACGCCACTGCCTGGAGCTCTTCTCTATGTTGGTGACAGGGTCTCTTCATAGGGTAGTACTCCTGATATTCTACCTCAATGGTAGGCAACCTCGGATTCGGAATGCCAGCTGTGGTGACACTACAATTCCGATAATGCCTCTGCCTCTAGGAGTCATACCTGTGGCAGTGAGAATTTCGCAATGCCTCATGGGACTTGTAGTACCACAGCAGCTTCAGTGTCGCTGTTGCCTACCCCGTTCTATATAGAACACTACTTTGTGCACATACTGATAAAAGCTGTATATTTAATGTTCCTGCTGGGTGCGGCTCATACTGACACACCGGATCATCTGCAGGAACAGACTCGGGACACTCAGCACACCCCTCAGGCACGGTTTGCTATTCATATGACAGATAAGGGCGAGCCGCTGCAGACTCAGAGCACGTCACGTGACCCGACCCTAGCATAGAGAACTTCCGGGTCGTTGACGAGTCACGTGTTTCCTGTAGGAAGTAATATCCGAGAAGAAGCCATAGCAGAGAAGGAGTGAAAGTCACAGGTAGGGTAAACAGTGGCTGACTGTGTATGAGAAGGCAGTAGGGTGGGCAGTCTGTGGGAGGCTGGTAGTTCTGGGTTATGGACCTCCATAGCAGACAATACGAGTTGTTGTCAGTGTGTGACATATCAGTGTTATGGTGGGGTCATCAGTCCGGAGGAGTGGGGGGGTCTTGAGGTGAGCTCTGCAAATCCTGGGTCATGGCAGGGCCGAGTCTTTCACTCATTCAGTGGATTTCAGCCCCCTTCTGTCATCAGTGTAAGGGAAGGGACATTCCCCCTTTTGGCAGTTGTTCTAAGAACTGGTGTCCCCATGGGGGGAATCCCAGAGATCCCAACCTGAAAGAAGCCATTTCAGGGGAGGTGTCCTCATTTCAGGGAGGTGCCCTCTACGCCCCCCCCCCCCCCCCCCCCCGGGGGAGGGGTGGGGGACCGTGGCTCCCGATGTCAGAAAAGGAAAATAATAACGATCGCAGGGAAAGGTTTATCTGCTCGATCGAGCAGATAAACCTTTCCGGGAGGAAGTGTTTCTCTCCCGGGCGGCCGGGAGCCGCTATCCAATAGCGGGAGACTCCCGGAGCGTCCGGGAGAGTTGGGATGTCTGGAATCCCCTTCCACATCTGGTGTGGTGACAACCCTAAAATGTTACATTTCCCTTCTATGTGTCTCCCAAACAGGGATGCAGATGGGAATAGTAACATTACAGGGGTTAGAATGGTCCCCTAGTTTTCATTGGAGTTCCCCTTTAAATCCAAAAGACGTCACTAGACATAAACCTTCTGGTGCTTTAGTTTATTCTTACAATGCTTATTATTCCCGTGGCTTGTGTACACCGGCCTGGATCTCATGATTTTTGGGTTTGTTTAAAATACAAACCCCCCCCAGCTGATTGTTGACATGGGGGAAAAAATGAAATGCCCTTTTACTTACCTAAAGCTGCAGTCATGTGACCTTCCAGTTCCAAGTCTTCTCTCGCCTCGCATTTACATCCGGAGGGGTTGTTCGGGTGTCATTGTCACGGCCTGCGATCTAGGGCATTTCCTATTGGCTGTCCAGCAAGAAGGGAGGGGTTTCTCTCAGGAGTGATGTCAGTGTGAGCTGACTGTGCACATATGGATTAGTAGTCCCCTGCACTAGGAAATGGTACTGGCAAGAGACCCAGATGGTGGATTTGTATCTTGCTCCAAAATAGAAGGGAAAAAAAATACATGCAGGATGGGGTAAAGGAAGAGTGGGGTCAGTGGGTCATGATTTGCCCAGAGATGGGCTTTAAAGATGAAGTTTAGTAAAAATATGTTTGAGGGGGGGTGCAGCACCGGGGACATAACATACCTCTAATGAAGTGTGGCCATGTCCTGCTGGCTGCTGCGGAATGTAGAAATCTTCCTGCTGGTTACTCCTGACATCACTGATCTTCCAGCACTGCGTGGGTGAAGAGCAGCAGCTGCAACCAGAATATAAAGTGCTCTGTGATTGGAGGAGGCGGATCCTGTCATTCATCTGTCCATCCTTCAATCACATTGAGCTTTACATTCTGGGGAAGAATACTACAGCTTCTGTGAAGGGGGGAGCGCTAATTTTTCACAGTCACAGCTGCCGATCTAAACCCATGTAGCGCTGAAAGATCAGCAATATGAGGAGTATCCAGTATCAGCGGAGGGAAGCTTTCCACACTAAGCAGCAGCCAGCAGGACATGGGACACTCTTCATCAGAGGTAAGTTATGTCGCCGGTGCTGCATACCCCTAATAACATGTAATTACATTTCAGCTTTAAGACGTACGTAAAACACAGCTCAGCAAATTCCATACACTTCTATAGTGCAGTGTGGATGGGCGGGTCTGAGGCTGCGTCTGACCTGCTTTACATGTTGTTTGTTTGGACAGCCGGTACTATGGGAGAAGTTTTTGCATTCCAGGTAAAGCAGGTCACACACACATCATTTTGTATTCTAGTGCAGCGTACGATAACAATGACCATCTACACAGAACTATGTAACAGGAGTGGGCAACCTTGGCACTCCAGCTGTGGTGAAACTACAAGTCCCATGAGGCTTTGCAAGACTCTTGACGGTCACTCCTAGATGCAGAGGCATGATAGGATTTGCAATCATGCCTCTGCATCTAGGAGTGATGCCTGTGACTATCAGTCTTGCAATGCCTCATGGGAGTTGTAGTTTCACCACAGATGGAGTGCCAAGGTTGCCCACCCCTGTGATATATAATGAACAAACCTAATATGGTCTTGCTGGAAGCCTCCCTCTAGGTCAGGGATGGCCAAACTCCGGCCCTCCAGCTGTGTTTAAACTACAAATCCCATGAAGCATCTCTCTCCGGGAGTCGTGGCTGTGAGAATCTTGAAAAGCCTCATGGGATTTGTAGTTCCACCACAGCTGGAGGGCCGCAGTTTGGCCATCCCGCTCTAGGTCTTCCCAGCTGGGATACAATCAGCAATATAAACCCGAACTGGGATCAGCCTCTAAAGGAACATTCCAGAATCTTAATTTATTGTTTCCCACATTTGTCCTATTTTACTGTTCAACCGGTAAGCACATTTCCTGTGATCGCAGCGTGCAGAGCAAGAGAAGCTGATTGGCTGATAGTTTCCGACCTCTCTAGGGACAAATCTTCTCCGTCCGAGACCGGCAGTGCTGCGTTCAGGTTTTATGTAAAGCCCTTGAAACGTGGAAATATAATAAGATGATGCTCTGAAGAGTTCTGCACACTTTGTCCTTACTGATTTCTTTCTCTCTCAGGTTAAAGATGGCTTCCAGCAAGCGTTTTGCGGATCTCGCCTACAAGACGTTTTCTGGCACTATGATCCTGCTGACGCTGTACGGAGGGTATCTGTGCAGCCTCCGAGCATATGGATATTTTCAACGCAAGCAAGCGCTGCGAGCAGCAGCCGAGAACCAAACAGAAGCAATTCTTAAAGACTGAATGATCTGCGCACTGAACTGATCCAATTATGGGGTACACAGCCTTTCCCTATGAAGTCACTTTGCACCCACAGTACCTGTGATCTGCCTGGTTTACCATAATGGATCATCGAAGATCAAGATGATGTTACTGGACTGCTTCCATGTGAACTTGTTTTTTTGTATAAATAAATGAAATTCTTCTATGCGCTGCATCTGATTTACCTGACTTGGTTGCATCAGTGTGAAGAGCAAGAAACGTTAACTTTGTGACAGGTGGGGAGTTAAAGGGAAACTCCACCTTAAACAGATTGCTTCCTTTTTAGTAGAATTAAAAGGGAGGTTCAGTCCCCTCTGTCCGATGTCAAAAGGTCTTCAAGAAACCTCACCTCAGCACCCAGCTTTGACTTTATTCAGAGGAGAAGTAGAGGAGTGACTCCGGGCAACCTGGGTGCCTTGGTGAGGAGGAAATGGCCCTATTACACTGAGGGCTCAGACACACCATATCCGGCGTGGTCGGAAAAATGCACTGGATCGCATAGATCAGGCAGGGGTGCGTTTTGGGGTGGGAGGGGGCGTGGCGGTGCCATTCATGTCAATGGCACCACAGGCACGCCCCTAGTGCAATCGTCCGCACTGAAACGCAAGGCACAGGAATGCCCTCCAGTGCAGTGCGATCGGAAAAGAGGACATTCCTTTATCTCACCTTCCAGTGCGGGCGATTGCACTGCAGGCGTGGGGCGTGTCTACGGTGCAATTGACATGAATGGCACCGCCTCGCACCCTAGAACGTGGCCCAGCCAGATCTACGTGATCCATTGTGTTTCGGCATCAGAACACACCGACTATGGTGTGACTGGGCCCTAAAGGAAGGTTGGAATATGATTGGTGCATAGGCATATTGATCTTGCTCTTCAGAGGACACTGTGCAACAGAGAGAGAACCACGTCCCAGTGGCCATACACTAGTAGATTTTTCAAAATCTCTTTTGTTCGATTTTCTATTGATGGGGTCAAATTGATTTCCATCATAGTGATGAAAAAGATTCAAAGGTGCAGGATAGAATTTTGTTTGTTCAGGAAAAACTTTCCATCAGTAAATGTGGTTTTCGTTCGGGGAACTCCATTCATTCCAAAATCGCATGTTAAAAAAAAGGAGAACTATGAGGTGAGTGCTTTCCACTCACCTCATAGTTCTAAGCCGACCTGTGACAATGAGACTGTCACAGGTCGGCAATAGGATGCTAGTTTGTGTCCTCCCGTTACCCTAAGGAGAACTATGGGGAAAAACACTGACCCCATAATTCTCCTTTAACTACATTTTGTTCAAAATTTGTCAGGTCTCTGAGGACATTATCAGGGAGTAAAGAAAGATCTTTCGTTTGGAAATCTACTAGTGTATGGCCAGCTTCAGTGAATAATTTTTCAGGACCTCTCAGCAGATCAGCTTATGCTCTAAGCTATTTGTATTAACTCTGGCCCTCCAGCTGTGGTGAAACTACAAATCCCATTAGGCATGACTTCAAGAAGCAGATGCATGATTCAATTTGTAGATTCACTACAGCTAGAGCAGTGGTTCTCAATCTGTGTAACCGCAGGGCCCACATTTTTCTTTGGCCTTTTAAGTCGCGACCCAAGTTGCCTTGCAATGAAATGCACGGCGTCGCAGTACCAAGCATTTGGGTGCAAGCGATCGGACTGTGGGCAGGAGGTGCATTTGGGGTGTCATTCAAATGAATGGTAAACCAACACACCTCCCACACCAGAACGTGCAGTAGATGCAATTGCGTGGTACAGTGCTGCAAACACTGTATTAGTGTGAACGGACCCTCAAAAACACTGACAGACACACACAACCACAGACACAATCTCACACACTCAGACATGCTCACACACTTCTACTCCCAAAAAATTATAATTTTTTACATTGTTTTATTTAAGATCCACCCAGTCTCCCTACCTTACGAGAACTGGAGTGGATCCTCAGCTCGGGGTCCAGTGTGGGCTGCTGTGCTGTGATGGAGCTCCATCCATATGTGCATTGCTTGAACAATCCCTTGTGTGTCCTGTAGAGGTGCCAGGAGCCAGCATGTGAGTCAGTCCAGTCACCTCTATAGGGCACATGTGGGAGCTGTAGGCAATGGACGTATGAATGGAGCTCCCCTGTGGCCATACTTCCAGCCCACCCCACCTCAAGCTGGCACGCAGGGCTGGGCAGCATATTTTGAATGGCTGTTTGGCGCGAGAATTGACGGTGCTGCCCTAGGGGGGGCTGAGGAGCCTCTCACCTAGAAAAATGGAAGGCATGTGGCGACCCACTGAACATTGGGTCACGACCCACCAGTTGAGAACCAAGGAGCTAGAGGACTAGAGTTTGCCTACCCCTATTCGGGAGGGATGGTGGGCTACAGGTGAATCAGATTGTTACAGCTCTTGCTAAAGGCAAACATCTAAGCTGTTGTCACAGTGATTGGCACAGACAAAACATTGAAAGTGAAGTACAAGGCACAGGTGTGTTACTGGCTAATAAGGAGAAGATGTGAGTGTCGTGTATTGATTATCAAGAGACACGGCCTAGTGTATGATGGTGGTCATCCAGGGCAGGGTTAGCTTTATAGACTGTAGGGCTGCAACTAATGATTATTTTTTCGATTAATCGGATTCAAAATAATTAAATATCATCCTTAACATAAAATACACAAATGCAGTGTTAGAAACAAAGTTTACTTCATAATAAAACTGCATGCACAATTATTGCAATCACACTGCACTGGAACGCACAGCATTGCGGTACCGTGCATTCCAGTGCGGGCAATCACACTGTGGGTGGGAGGCGCGTTTTTGGGGTGCCATTGAAATGAATGGCACCTGCAGCAGAATTTGTCAGGCCGAAACCAAAAATGACTTTTCCCCACTTTTTATAATTTCCTTTTAATAATTGCTTGAATAGCTTAGCCAGGAAGGGACAGCTGCCAGTGGCAAGATTCCGCAGATGGCAGCTGAATGTAAATACAGCAGGTAGTGGGTGGGTGCAATAGCCAGCCTGCTATGTATAAACAATTTGCAGAGACATTTGCCCTGCGAGTCGCTATGAATGTTTGTTCTGTGTGAATAGAGGCAGAATATCGTACGGGCAGTATATACCGTATATTTTTGTCAGGTTGGCTGTAATGTAATGGCCCGTTATGGCCAATAGATGGAGCCGAGGAGCATGGGAAAATAATACTTATGTGCTATGCTCTTCAGCTGCCTCTAGTATAATGTACTAATACATTACACTCCAACCTAAGGGGGCAAGACAAAATATACTAAGAACGTTCGTTTTTTGCCTTTTTCCACACAGACAAAATTAATAGGGCAAATGGCTTTGTGAATTGTTTATAAATAGACCCCAGTTATGATACAAATTTAAGGTGAGCCTGTGCTTTGCACATGCAGGGCAATGCAACAGGCAGCGGTGTATTTAGGTTTCGTGCTGCCCTAGGCAAGACGAAATTCGGCACCCCTGCCTGTTCAAGACATTTTGCGTAACCTGTCAAGTTGCTGGATGCAGCTTCTAAAAGGTTGCGCTATTAGGCCTCATTCACACAGCTTGGAGCCGCCCCGTACAGATCCATGCGGCATACATGGTCGTAACGTGCCGTTCCCGGGTAGGACAGGTGCTGCGTGTGATTGTACGCAGCTGCCTGTTCTCTATGGGAGGATGCGGCCGTACTCTGCCCTACGCTCACCCACCCTGCACGTCCGTGCAGGTGTCTGTACTCGGACACAGACAGGATGGATCCTGTCTGTGTCCGAGCACGGACACCCGCATGGATGTGCAGTTCGGGTGTGCAACACTAGAAGCCACCTGAGTAGGCAGCACAGGCTGCCGGATTTTGTCCACCCGTCACCGGCTTTCCTCTTTGCACAGGGGGGGGGGCCAAAAATGCCGCCCGCCCTGCAAACACCTTGTTTGCCTCGCAGCAAATACGCCCCTGGCAACAGGCTCACCCTAAGGACTTGGGCACATGCGTTTTAGCCTGTAGAAGAGAAGTTTGTGCAACAGGGTTCAAGTTGCTTTATTGAAAATTTTGAGGGGCCTTGCACTCCTTTGTATGTTGGGGTGCAATTATCTGAAGCCCGCTGCCCATATTTACCTTTCCTAACCATGTTTGTCTGCTGGGAGTGAAGAGAAAGCCCTGTATGAAGTCCAAATTGTTACTTGGAACCTACACTTGGCTGAGGACCCTACACTTGGCTGAGGACCCTTTCCCTTTCCCCAGGGGACAGTACTGGGGGCCAACCACTGTTGCTAAAAAGGAGCACAAGTACTGGGTATTGTTCTTTGCTTCTTCTTGCAACTGAGTGAAGAGAGTGTGCTGCTGGTGGGGTTGCCATTGAGAACCTCTTGCTTTGCTCTGCATAGGTAAAGCACATGGTTCTTGTCTTAATCTTAATATATTTATTTGCATCTTAAAGACTAACTCCAGCCATAACTTTTATATTTTTTTAGATAAAGCATGGAAGAGCTACAACTCGTCAGGTTTTTTGAAGTCTGCATCCCCACAGGGGAGATTTCCTTAATTTCCTGTAATGAAGACACAAGCTCTGTTACAAAGACAAGCGGATAAGGGTAAGCACTCATTCACACAAGCAAAGGCCTGCCCGTACAGATCCGTGCTGCGTGTATGGCCGTATTGGGGCCCCTCCCGGGAAGGACAGGCGCTGCTTGTGATTACACGCAGCAGGCTGGTCTTCTCTATGGGAGTGGGCTGCCCTACGCTCACCCGAACTGCACGTCTGTTCAGATGTCCGTACTCGTACGCTAACAGGATGGATCCTGTCTGTGTCCGAGCAGGGACACCCATACGGACGTGCAGTATGAGTGAGCTAACAGGATGGATCCTGTCTGTGTCCGAGCAGGGACACCCATACTGACGTGCAGTATGAGTGAGCTAACAGGATGGATCCTGTCTGTGTCCGAGCAGGGACACCCATACTGACGTGCAGTATGAGTGAGCTAACAGGATGGATCCTGTCTGTGTCCGAGCAGGGACACCCATACGGACGTGCAGTTTGAGTGAGCGTACAGCCGTGTACTCCCATAGAGGACAGGCTGCTGCATATAATCACACGCAGCACCTGTCCTTCCTGGGAGGGGCCATGCACGCAGTACGGGCCAGCTATTGCTCGTTTGAATGAGGGCTAAATCTCCCCCATGGGGACATGATTTAAAGTTGTATAAAGTCCACCTCCAACCAAACCTTTTCTATTTCCCGGTCTTCCAGAAAGGACCTTAAATCGAGATCTCACCAACAGGGGAATAAAAGGCAAAGAGACTTCTACCTTTTCAGAAGGATGTGGGGCTCCCCCAGGTTTTTATTTCTTCTCGAGATGTCCCCATTGTAGTGATTCTTGTCTTGGTGAAACAGCATGCCTCATGATGTCATTGCTGTAGGAAAGGGGAATCTCCAGACCAGGAACATAGACAGCAATACAAACCTGAGTAAAGTTAAAACATAATACATTTTCCAGGATTTTCTGCAGAAATATGTGATTTGCCGATCAGTATCCGGCCAGTTGAGTAGATGTCTCTGCTGTAAATATTCCACAAATAATGCAAGCTATTGTATATAAAAAGTGTGAAGCGCAGAGGCCATAGAGATCCTCTGCAATTTTACACACTGCCATTTAAGACCAGTTGAAACAATGGGTCATCGGAGCCCTTGGTACATCATTCATGCATGAAGCGGATGTCTTTTATTACTGTATCTATATTTAATCAGCTCCTCATGCCAGCTGTATTCAGTTACCTTAGCCTCAGATTGGCAGTGTGTAAATAAGGTACCAGCCAACGCGACCAGCAGGCCGGGATCTGTGAGCTCACACGGCTTTTCTGATGGGAACAATTAATGAAACATGTTCATCAAATCAGCATGATGAGCTGCATCAGAGTATTGACTCAATTTCTCAATCATATCACCTTACATTCCTAGGTGTATGTATCGCCATGAATATTTACAGCAGTGGGCACATTTAGCCATGATAGGTGCAATGTTAATAATGGTGTGACATGTTGTGCTGATCCCCATAGGCGAGTCCAAAAATTTGTGATGTCAGTGTACTGCAAGGGCTGATCTGGTTTCTCCTTCATTGTTCTGACACTTCAGTACAGTACAATGATTCATTATGATGTCAGCGTTTCCGTCTGGGCCTTCATTACACAATTGCCTGAGGGAAGACAACTCAGAGCAAATTGCAGAACGAGGGCATGTTCACGCCACATGATGCCGGTGTAAGGTAAAAGCACAAGGCAATGCAGTCATTTTTGTTTTCCTTGTTGAAACTTCTGTGTAATTTTACGCACTGCAGCATGTTGCAATGCATTATAAAAATGGCAATTTTTT